AGAGGAATTCTCAGTGGCAGCAGGGCTGGAGAAGAGCCAGTGCCTGGCCCCACAGGATGGGAGTGGCTCTCCGGGACCCTCAGTCCGCAAAGTGCTGCACTGTAGCTGCAGGAGGAGCCTGGAAACAGAAGCCCCTCGCCCCTCTGCTATCCCCTGTGCTGTCAGCGTCAGTAGAGGGGGTCTGTCCTTTGGCAGAACACTGAATGTGAGCTGGCTGGGAGGCAGAGCAGGCCTTAGGAAAGTCTCCTTACCCAGAGGGAAGAGAGAGAGAAGGTCAGAGCCTGGCCTCGCCTCCGCTCTGCAGTGGGAAGCGCCAGGTCGCTGCCAAACACTGCAGTGCTGGGGCGCGGGCAGATGGCTGGGAGTGCAGCATGCAAGTGGAGTCAAGCTGCTGCCCTGCTGAGGAGCCCGCCCTTCCTTCCATCCTTCCTAAAAAGCTTTATTTATTTACTGGAAAATCCGTATTACAAAGACAGAGATCCTCTCTCTTTGGTTCATCCCCAAGTGTCTGCAGTGGCCGTCAGTCTGAAGGCAGGAGCCCAGACCTTCCTCTGGATGGCCTGCATTGGTGCGGGGGCCAGCCTCTTGGGCCATCATCTGTTGCTGTCCTGGGAGCATTAGCAGGGAGCTGAACTGGAAGGGGAGTAGATGGGATGCTGAGGCCACAGGCAGCAGCTTTGTCCAATAAGCTACAGTGCAGGCCTAGGGAGTGTTTCTTAAAGGAGAGCATTAATAATAGCGAAGCTGGGAATTTTCAATGAGCTAGGAAGAATCCAGGCGTTGTGGGCATGGATACACACTACAGGAACAAGACTTGCTGTTAGATGTGAGATGGAGGAAGGTGGTCATGCCAGTTGAGGGGAGTGAACTTGAACCCTGCCCCCCACCAAGGAGGGGCCTGTCGGCTTAATGGGGGTTGTTGCCAGAGGGAGCAAGAACGTTGGAGTAGGGGACGTTTTTTCTGCCCTTATTTACAACATCGTTTGGACATCTGGTTGTCATTTGGGCCATTGGTGGCATTTATAACACTTGTGTACTATATGAACCCACCCAATTAACAACTAGTGTACTACAAATTTGTTGAATTTCCAGTCCCGCCCACGCTTGCTGTGGCAGGGCCAGACCAAGTGATTTTAAGAACCAAAGGATCCCCACCACTAAGGGGTGGGGCTGGGCAAACAAGGAGAAAACACGCTCCAGCCAGAGAAGGAAGGAAAAGCATGAGGAAAGAGACAGGCGAGCTGCCACCGTGAGCACAGCGGGAAGAACTGAAATGAGCCTAACGTATGTCTGAAGAGGCTGAAATTAGGAAAATGAATCAGTTCTTATCTCTGCCCAGTGTTTCACTTATTAAAAAGATTGACTTATTTTAATTGGAAAGGCAAGTTTACAGAGAGAGAGAGAATTTTTCATTCACTGGTTCACTTGACAAATGGCCACAATGACCAATGCTGAGCTGGTCTGAAGACAGGAGCCAGGAGCTCTTCCAGGTCTCCTGCATGAGCACAGGGGCCCATCCTGGGCCATCCTTCACTGCTTTCCCAGTCTGTAGCTGGGAACTGGATCAGAAGTGGAGCAGTTGGGATTAGAATAGGTATTTATGGGCCTGGCGTGATGGCCTAGTAGCTTAAGGTCTCACCCTGAACGTACCAGGATCCCATATGGGTGCTGGTTCTAATCCCTGCGACCTTACTTCCCATCCAGCTCCCTGCCTGTGTCCTGGGAAAGCAGTAGAGGACAGCCCAAAGTTTTGGGACCTGCACCCACATGGGAGACATGGAAGAAGCTCCTGGCTCCTGGCTTCGGATTGGCTCAGTTCCAACATTGCAGCCACTTGGGGAGTGAATCAGTGGACAAAAGATCTTCCTGTCTGTCTCTCCTCCTCTTTGTATATCTGCCTTTCCAATAAAAACAAATAAATCTTAAAAAAAAAAAAGTACGTGTGTATATGGGATGCTGGTACTGCTGGTGGAGGTTAGCTGGCTAAGCCACTGTGCCGGCCCCCATAGTGGCCTGAAGGCATGTTGGGTTTGCAGATGAGAGGACGGGTCCAGCTCTGTCCTTTCAGGCCCCGTGCACTTGAAGGCTGATTAGGGGCATCCATGTTGTGCCTTCTGTACTCATCAGGTTTTCTTTTGTGTCTGTCTCTGTCAAAACCCCCCTGGTTTTATATTTGAATTGCACGTTGAGTGACACTTTGGGGTGTCAGGTCCGTGCTCAGAAGGCTTTGGTTGGGAACGTTCTGGATCAGGCTTTCAGAGCAGGCGTAGCAGTAAAGTTCCGGTTTCTGCAGGCATTGACTTGGTTTAAATGGTAGACTCCACGATCAGTAGCACGCAAATCTTAGCTGAGTTATTTTATTTTTTCTATAGTTGAAGCCAGTCCCACATATATTTGGTTTAAGGTTCAGCTAGGTATTTTTGGTAGTTTCTAAAGAGAATTTGGGGCTCCCCTTTCTTTCTTGTCTAGGATTCTGTTCTCATTATATAGTGGATAATAAAATTCCAGTTTCTGTCCCTCCCCTCAACTCCCCTCACCCATCTGCCTCCAAGGGAGGAAAAACTATGGACTTTTAATTTTCTTTTATTTCCTAAACAAGATTTTGGTTTTGGCTTACTCTCTGAAAACAGCAACTGATCTTGTGTCAATTCTATCTTTATTTTTTTTAAAGCCTACCTTTAAGTGTATGTTAGTTATATTCACATTATTATGCAACATATTTCCAAAACATTTGTTTTAGAGGTGGATTGGAGGAAACAGAGAAAGGGACCTTCCATCTGTGGGGTTGCTCCAAAAATGGCCGCAGAGGCTGAGACTGGGCCAGACTGAAAGCAGAGCCAGGCGCTCCAACCAGGTTGCCATGTGGGTGGCAGGGGCCAAGCATATGGGTGGTCTTCTGTTGCTTTCCCACTCACATTTGCAGGGAACTGCATTGGAAGTGGAGCAGCTGGGGCTCAAACTGGCACTCATGTGTGATATTGGCATTGTAGTTGGTGGTTTAACCTGCTGCACCCCAATGCTGACCCCTCTAGAACTTTCTGATTTGCAAAATTGAAATTCTGTGAGCAATCATTCCTTCCTCTCCCAGTCCATGATAACCACCGTTTTTCCTTCTGTGAATTTGACTGTCTCACATGTGTCGTGTAAGTCAGTTACACATGCTGGTTTTCATAGAACAGACTTGCCTCACTTCCTCTCAAGGGTTGTCCGTGTTGTAGCGTGTCACAGGATTTCCTTCGTTTTTAAGGTTGAACAGTATTCTATGAGTACAGACCAACCCCCTTTACCTGTCAATGGATGCTCTGGTTAATTCCACATCTTGGCTGCTGTGGATAATGCGATGTGAATACAGTGTGCAAATCATTCTCATGTTTAGCATCACTCTTGAGTCTTCTTGCTTTGCATAGCTGTTTGTTTTCCATTTTCTGTCATTTCCTGGCTTTGACTGCACCTTATGGTCATTATCTGTTGGAAGATTGTGCTTAATAGACACTTGGCCATACTGGGATTGCAGTTGTTAAAAAGTTTCAGATTTTGTATTTCTTTTTGGGTCTTCAAAATATTACTGAAAAAATGAGTATTATTAAAAAACTATGTATTATATTGGGCCCGGCGCGGTGGCGCAGTGTTTAAGGTCCTCGCCTTGCACGCCCGGGATCCCCTATGGGAGCCGGTTCTAATCCCGGCAGCCCTGCTTCCCTTCCAGCTCCCTGCCTGTGGCCTGGGAAAGCAGTCGAGGATGGCCCAAAGCTTTGGGACCCTGCACCTGCGTGGGAGACCCAGAAGAGGCTCCTGGCTTCAGATCGGCATAGCATCGGCCGTTGCGCTCACTTGGGGAGTGAATCATCGGACGGAAGATCTTCCTCTCTGTCTCTCCTCTCTGTATATCCGCCTTTCCAATAAAAAAATAAATCTTTAAAAAACACTATGTATTATAAAATTTTTTCAATTCCGCTTTGTGCACACTTTCTGAAGTAGCCTTGTGTATATGTGCATAACATTTTGAACAAATGAAACAGTTCAAATTCCTGACCAGTTGAGGCATTACTTAGGACACGTTCAGATGTTCCTGCATTATGGACTAGAGGTCACATTTCTATTGACAAGGGACCTCAGATAAACGTTAGACAAGACATGGGCAGCTGATTATCTGGACAGGAAGTGTAAGTGACCAGTAGTGCATACAAACCTTAACTTCCTTTTTAGTAATCAGGAAAGTATAAAAGAGCAAAAAGTGAAATTCCATTTTTCCTCAACAGATTGGCCAAGATTAAGAAGAGCAACCCTCTTCACTGGTCACAGAAATGCAGGAAAAGGGACACATCGCTGCCGCCACGGGGAAGGAAACCTAGTTTTCAAAATCCCACCATCTCATTCCCAGCTGTGTTTGGAGTTCTTTATCAGCACTTTGAGCATTCCGGATGGTTGGAGAGGGTTAATATCTGTAGTACTATACTGATGGCAAAAAGAATAACTTAGAACTGTCAGAAGTAGGTCAGAAGAACGAGGGTGACGCGCCGCGTTGGAAAGCCCATGTTCGGATGTTATTCTGTTCATGCTCCCAGGAAAGCTGCAGGCACAGCCTCCCACTCCCAGCAGCACCTCTGAGCGTGTGCGGATAGGGTTAGGCACAGACCAGCTCTTACATACCGATTTCTGTGGGACAGCGGACCTAGCAGCTGACTGCACGGTCAACTTTGTTCCCATGAACCTGAAGTGCCTTTTGCAATAAAGCAATTCGATATTTGAAAGACGAGAAACAGTTTCCTAGCGCAGAAGGTAGCAGGTGCGGGCCTAGTTCTGACTTGAGTGCGATGTTTTCTACGTCTATTCTCTAATGTGAGGTGGCAATCAATGTGTGTCCTTACCCGGGTACGTCACCGTGGGGCTGTGAGGGCGAAGTGAGGGGTGAAGACACCCGTGACTTCGGTCGGGAACACTGAGAAATGCGAGCTGCACTCCACAAGACAATACCCAGAGGCTTTCTATTTGTGACGCAGGTGACAAAAGCTCCAGAGGAGGCCTCGTCGCTTTCCAACGGAGACGTGGTGGGAGAGGCGGAGAACCCCACAGAGGTAAGGGCTGGGGCAGAGCCTTCTCTCGGTGGCCTTGTCAGGCTGACCACGGGTCCTGTCACTGTCTCCCTTACCCGTGTGTCTGTCCAGCCGTCTGTATGCCTGCCAACTCCCTCCCGCTTCTCTCCTTTCTCCCTTCTCTTCCTCCTCCCTCCCTTCATCCGTCCTTCCTCCCTTCCCTCTTCTCTCCTTTTTTCCTCTCCTTCCCACCCTTTCTCCCTTCCCTCCCTGTCTGCCTTCCTTTCTACTTTATGTATCTACTTTCTGTCTGTCTCTCCATCCACCCACCTACGTACCTAACACTCATCTTTTTAATATTTACAACTGTACAGCCCTCTATCCAAATCCTAGACAGCAAACCATGTATGCACTGGTGAGTTCTGGGGTTCAGCGCACCCCCGCTGCGGTAGCCATGCGGCCACGGAGGTCCGAGTGTGTGTCCTTTATGCATCACGCTCCTCAAGGAGGAAGCTGCAGCCCAGCGTGGCCTGCTTCTCCCCGGGAGCTTCCCAGTGTCGGTGACACCCGGGTCTCCTTCACCACCAGGGGACAGAGAAAACCCAAGAGAGTGGAGAGAACGAGCCCCAGGAAGACGACAGCGAAGCCGCCGAGAGGAACGTGAGTGGCTGCTGGGCTCGTGGCCACAGCGCTTCCGCTGCTCCCCTTGCACGTGGCACACGCTCTCTGGATGTCTAGCAGTCGCCTGGGGTCAGCAAGGGGAAGGCAGTGAGGAGCTGGGCGTTGAGCTGGAAACCAGGCAGGCACTTTTTATCAGTGTGTAAACCACTGTCGTCTGGTATGGAGGTTAAAGGGAAGCCGGGAGAAGGGCTCTGATGAAGCTATCTGAGCTATCTGAGCTTGCTGTCCAGTTAAAGATTGATTTAAAAAATTTATTTGAAAGGCAGACTTACAGAGAAGGAGAGGTACAGAAAGACACACTTTCCATCCACTGGTTCACTCCCCAAATGGCTGTAACAGCCAAAGCTGGGACAGGCTGAAGCCAGGAGCTTCGTCCAGGCCTCCCACATGAGTACAGGGACCACTTGAGTCATCCTTTGCTGCTTTGCAAACAAATCAGCTGGGATCTGGATAAGAAGTGGAGTGGCTGGGACTCGACCAAGCACCCACATGAGGTGTTGGTATCCCAGGCAGAGGTTTAGCTTGCTTCACCATAACTGCAGGCCCAGGTTTGTGTTCTGCGTCAAACGGGCTCTCCCGGTCAGGTGCTGGTCTGGAGTGCCCAAAGGAGCCCAGCCTGTGAGGAGACAGCGCTGAGGGTGGTACAGTGTGCAAGATCACAGGAGCACGGGGATGCAAACGGGCCTTTGTGGAGAGACACTGTCCCTTCAGGCTGGCCAGGGCACCCAAGCAGAGGGTCTCACTGTACGGGGCTCCTGTTCAGGGACTCCCGTCAGCAGCAGCAGAGCACTGGGCCTGGAAGCTGGGTGCAGAAATAATGGGGAACCAAAGTATGAGCTGCTCAAGGAATTCTGGGAAGCCAGTGAGAGTGTGGCCCTTGCTGCGCCAGGTGCCAGCCGGGGTGCACTGCGGCTGCCTGTAGGAGAGGTCCAGTGGGAGAAATACAAAGACTGGATGAATGCTGGAAGTGCTGTGGCTTGTTCATGCTTGTGACTGGCTTGCATGAGGGGAAGATGATTTACAATTTGTGTTCTTTGCCAACCTGCTGGATCCACACATCCCTGATCACGGTGTCACCCCTCTGGGCTTCCTTTGAAACTGGCCTCAAGAATAATGGCTTTGTCAAACACAGGTGCAGGTCCAGATACCAAGGGGCTCAGGCTGAGCCCAGAAGGTTGAGTGAAAACTCCACTCCTACGCTCTTGCGCTCCTCTGCACAGCCTCTCTCAGCCCAGCTGTCCCTTTGGGTCTCACTGGGCCACCCTGGTCTTCCCTCCTGTTCACTGCCTGGCACTCAACAGTGCTGACACCTGTCCTCCATCCTGGCCACACGTCATGTCAGCAGCCTCTTTCCCTGGCCAGGTTCCCAGCAAAAGTAGCCGCTGTGGGCGGTCCTAAGGTGTCCCATCCCTGGACTGCCCCTTCTTGCCTTCTCAGAAGAACAGAGTGTGACAGCTCTCAGTTTTCTGCTCGCTCAGGTGTGTGCTTCTTATCCCATCATGAGACCCTTCCCAGAACTGGGCTTGAGCTGCACAATCCCCCATGACAAGATGTCATTAGCTGCCAGTTGTGTTCGTCACTGTACACCTAAAGGACATAGAAGGATCTACCTGGATCTGAGGCTCTGTGATCCAGGGGCAGGAGTTTGGTAGTTTCCAGAGCGGGATTGGAGGCAGAATTAGCATTACACCACTGCTTCCGTTTGATATCTTAGTGACAGACTGAGCAGTGTGCCACATGCCAGGCAGGGCACCAGAGGCTGGGGAGACAGCAGGGATGGGCAGTGTCCCTGCTTCCTGGAGCTTGTGTTGTAAGAGCGGACGATGCCCACAGAGCTTCACCGCTAACTTAACCTATGGAGGTCAAGTGTTTCTAACAACCTGCAGAGCCATTCCTTTCTCCAGTAACAAACCCTTCCAGAAGTCAAGAGCTGTTGGATGATGGTTAAAGCACAAGGCTCTCTGTTATCACAGGAGCCAGCAGGTGCTTCCATTGGGTGCCCGTGGCTCCAGGCCCTCCGCCATCGCAGGAGCTGGCAGGTGCTCCACAGGGTGCCCGTGGTTCCAGGCCCTCCGCCATTGCAGGAGCCGGCAGGTGCTCCACAGGGTGCCCGTGGCTCCAGGCCCTCCGCCATCGCAGGAGCCGGCAGGTGCTTCCACAGGGTGCCCGTGGCTCCAGGCCCTCCACCATCGCAGGAGCCGGCAGGTGCTTCCACAGGGTGCCCGTGGCTCCAGGCCCTCCGCCATCGCAGGAGCCGGCAGGTGCTTCCACAGGGTGCCCGTGGCTCCAGACTCCGGCTCTCCCTGATGTAGGTGATGGTGCATACAGGCGTGGACATGAAGGCCCCGGCTCTCCCTGATGGTTTAGGAGATTTCCTTGGAAACAACATTCTGAATAATATTCTGGAAGGTGCTCTTGACCTAAATAACTTGCCTGTGATCCTGGATGGCTGGAGGAGGGAGGTGAAGGGATTAGTTAGGGGCCTGGCAGGACCCACGTGACTTGTAATCATCCAAAGAGCCTGCAGTCGTCTGGAAATGGGTTTCTAAATGGGAGGGCAGCTCAGCACCTCTGATATGGTGTGGGGGACAGACTGGGGAGGAAGCCTAAGGGATCGTGATTCTGTGGGAACACCTTCCAGCCAGCAGATGAACAAGCAACACAGGCCACTCAGGAGTGAGGGGCAGCCTTCAAGGAGCACAGTGCATTGGTCATTGCAAAGACCTGAGCTTTGCCCCCAGAGCCCGGGATCCCTGCCCCTCCTGGCTGTGACTTCAGTCCTGAACTTGCACCCAGAGCCCGGGATCCCTGCCCCTCCTGGGTGTGACTTCGGTCCTGAACTTGCACCCAGAGCCCGGGATCCCTGCCCCTCCTGGGTGTGACTTCAGTCCTGAACTTGCACCCAGCGCCCAGGATCTCTGCTCCTGGATGTGGTTTCGGCCCTAACCCTTGGTGATCCCGAGTGGCATCTCATGAGAGGATGACTTCGGAGAGGCTCAGGGCTGCAGAGATCCACACATCCTGACTCGGTCAGGTGCTTCAGAAAGCGGAAGTGATTGTTGCTTTCATTATTCAAGTGTCTTTATTACCACGATACAGTTTTGTAGGCCCAGGTGTTCCCTGTCCCTCCCCTTCCTTCTTTCCTGTTTTCTCCTACCACTATATTCCCCTGAATTATCACGATACCGTAGATCCTTAGTAACAGTTGAAGTTTAACTTTCTGATGTTTAAATATACCCTGACATGCTAGGGATAGGCAAAGGTAGAGAATTTATAGTCTCATGCTGTACAGGTATGCTTACATGTTTTTTTTAAGATTTATTTATTTTTATTGGAAAGTCAGGTTTACAGAGAGAAAGAGAGACAGAGAGAAAAATCTTCTGTCTGCTGGTTCACTCCCCAAGTGGCCACAACGCCCAGAGCTGATCCAATCCAAAGCCAGGAGCTTCGTCTGGGTCTCCCATGCAGGTGCAGGGTCCCAAGGCTTTGTTATTTTAATGGGAGTTTTTAATGGGAGTTGTTTAATGGGAGTTTTATTCAGGAGTAGAGATGTATACTGCAATGTAACTTTACTTTCCGGTATGCTAGTCTCTGTTACAGCTTATCTGTGCAAATGCAGGCACAGACTCCCTTCCCTGGGTCTGTTTATTTTGAAGCTGTATATCAGAGAAAACATGTGGCACTGTCTTGAGCTGGTTCACATCGTGGACTATGCTGAAAATGCTGAGCTCATTATTCCTGAACTAGTCTGTGAAGAGCCCTCTGAGAGAGAGAGAGAGAGAGAGAGAGAGAGAGAGAGAGAGAGAGAGAGAGAGAGAGAAGAAGCTGGATGGGGAGCAGAGAATCCAGGATTCCAAGTGGCTCGTTGGTACGGAATGCTGGCATTACAGGTGGGCTTGTGGAGGGAAAGCCCACTGAGCCAGGAACCAGGGGGAAGCCCACTGATCCAGGAACCAGGGGGCAGCTCACTGAGCCAGGAACATCTACACCAGCAGGTTTTGACTGAACTCTGTGACCTTGGCATTTTCTTTGCTAGGGAGAGAGGGTAGGGGTGACCCCAAGATCCCAGGAGCCCCCCACCCTTGTGGTAAGGCCCCTGGGACTTTGTAGGGACTGTTCTGAGAGAACCAGGGCTCCTGTCCACTTACCTAAGGTGGCTGCAAGTCGCTGGCCCAGGGGCTAGAGGAGGGCTCTTTTGAGAAGGGAGGCAAAAGTTTTCGTTTCCTTAGAGCCTGACGCTGTGATGCTCTGGGGCAGGTGGAAGTGGAGTGGGCTGGTGGCTTAGAAAGTGGAGGCTGTTACCAGGAGTCACTGTTTTGAAATACTACGCAATTCAGAAATGAAATAGTTTTGTATCCAGAGAGCAATAGCTTTTGATCTGCTTTTATTAATGGGTCCAAAGCCAAAGTAAATTCACACCTATGAAGGCGAGAAGGTGAAAAGACAGTTTTAGTTTCAATTTTTTTCTACTTGTTCTCATATATGAAAGGGATTCTATTCTACGCCGCTGTAGATCTTTGGTAATCTTCGCATATAGAGACAAAATTATAGCGACTGTCTAACACGGTGAGCAATGGGTTCTGCCCTCCCAGGTGGTGAGCACGGAGAACATGTCAGTCTTACGCTGTTCGGAGAGTTGAAGCGACGTCCAGTGCATGAGACGAGCAGCCAACATTCAGATTTCTATCTTTGTTATTCACCTATCTCTAAGATATTGCTATGGAATTGTCTTTGACAAGCTTTTGTGATTTTTCACAGCTAATTGAATCTTCAGGTTCAACTTAAAACTTACTTACATTTATATATTTTTCCCCTTTAATTTTGACTCAATGGACCTAAGGAGGAAGCGGGAGAGAGCGCCACGAAGGAGGTATGTCTGTGTTTTTGAGCAGCTCTGATGAGTCACTCGTTTCATACCAAAGAGTTGACCATGCAAACCATACTCCCAGGAGATCCCCTTGCCACCTGCAGAGAAATTGCCTGTGGTGGAAGTGGATGGAGAAAAACAAGGGCGGGCAGGAGGGGCGGTCCTGCATCGTGATTGCTGTAAGTCTAATGTCCCTCTGGAGTGTGACCGCTGGCTCAGAACTTCTGGTGGGGTCCCCTAGGGAAAGCATGACAGACAAGGATGAGTTTTGAACCTGCCTGCCCAGCTGGGTATTCTAGGAGGGTACTGCAGGAACCTCACAGAGAAATGGAATTAAACGACACAGTTATTGTCATGCAAAAGGAATGGGAAACTCATGCGTGACTGTTTCATAGTGTGCATTTTTCTCTGAATGTTTTGAAGATCCTGCTTATAAATGTAGTAAGGTAAAAGCATTTAAGAAAGAGATGTCTTACAATGAAGTTAGGATAAGAGCAACTAAAAGCCAGGAGAGTAAAATTACACGAAGGTAAAGAGATTGGGGATTGTATACAGGAGAAGGTAACTGTCCAGGTATACTAAGGATGTGGCTTGAAGGTATGACAAACACATTAAAAGAAAAACGAGACGAGCCCACCTCAGATCCAAAGGGGGCAGGATCTGACCCGCCTTGGGGTACCCTACTGGCCCCGACCCCTGCTTCCTGCTGAGGCAGGCCCCGGGAGGCAGTAATGATGGCTGAATTTGCTGGATTCCCACCCCCTTGGAAGACCTGGATTGAGATTGCGGTCACAGCCCCGGCCCTGGCCCCGGCCCAGCCATTTGGGGAGTCAGCCAGTGATGAGAACTCTGTCTCTCTCGGTCACCTCTCTGCATCTACACCGCCTAGAGAAACATAAGTCAACAATAAATGAATTTTAAAAGGCTATTAAGGGTAAAAAAGGAAAAAGACTTTCTTCTATTACATGCAGTTTAACATGCTTGTTTATACACAGAGCTTGTACTTTGTTGTAGCTGACATTCCCTGAGTATAGCTCGAAGGCTTGCTTTTCCATGTTGGAGTTGGAGATTATTTGGCCGCCTGAAGAATTAACATGAGGCCACAGAAAATTATTTGAACTTAATTATTTGAACTTGACTAGATGTAAGGATAGGCCTGCTTTCTTTAAATGCAGAAATTGGGATAATTTTTTTTCCCCTTTAAGATTTATTTATTTAGGGCCCGGCGCGGTGGCGCAAGTGGTTAAAGGTCCTCGCTTTGCACGCCCGGGATCCCATATGGGCGCCGGTTCTAATCCCGGCAGCCCCGCTTCCCTTCCAGCTCCCTGCCTGTGTCCTGGGAAAGCAGTAGAGGACAGCCCAAAGCTTTGGGAACCTGCACCCGCGTGGGAGACCCGGAAGAGGCTCCTGGCTTCGGACCGGCATAGTATCGTCCCGTTGCGCTCACTTGGGGAGTGAATCATCGGACGGAAGATCTTCCTCTCTGTCTCTCCTCTCTGTATATCCGCCTTTCCAATAAAAAAATAATAAAAATAAATCTTTAAAAAAAAAAGATTTATTTATTTATTTCAAAGTCAGAGAGAGAAGGAGGGAGAGAGATAGAAGCGTTCCATCTGCTGGTTCACTTCCCAGATGGCTGCAGTGGCCGGCCAGGGCTAGGCCAGGAGCCAGGGGCTTCTCCTGGGTGTCTCACATGGCTGACAAGGGCCACACACTTGGCTGTTTTCTATGCTTTCTCAGCTGTAACAGGGAAGTGGAACAGCAGGGCTTCCCCAGCACCCACATGCTGGTGTGCCAGGTGGTGGCTTAAACTGGTATGCCACTGTGCTGGTCCCTTAGTGATACCTTTTAAGGCGATTTAGATGTGCGCAGTTTTCCTAAAGCATTCCATTAAGCCCACATAGCAAAAAGGTTCCTTCCCTACTCATGTGTCTCACTGTGTGCAGTGTGCTTCGCGTGTGGCATATGGTATGTGTTATATGCTGTGTGGTATGTGGCCTGTATGTACATACACATGTATTGTATGTGATGTGCGGTGTGTATGACATGTGTGCACCTAGACTATATGGTGTGTGCCACGCAACTTGTGTGGTTTGCGTGTTTGTGGTGTGTGTCTAGTATGAGGTATGGGTATGGTGGATGTGTAGGGATGTAGGACGTGTAGTATGTGACATGCAGTGCTCATGTAGTATGTGTGTGTTGTGTATGATTGTACAGAATGTGTGTTTGGTATGTGGTCTATGCGATGTGTATGTGAGTGACGTGTGTACGGTGGGGTGTGTGCAGGTATATGGTGTCTGTGCGTGTGGGGGCGACTATGGGCATGCACAGTGTGAGTGACGTGTGTACGGTGGGGTGTGCAGGTATATGGTGTCTGGCGTGTGGGGGCGACTATGGGCATGCACAGTGTGTGTATGTTGTGTCTGTATGCAGTGTGGGGAGTGCGTGTGTGGTACATGTGTGTATATGTGTGATGCATGCACAACATGTAGAGTGTGTATGGTGTATCTGTATGGAGGGTAGGGATGTGGCATGTGTGGTGTTATGGGTGTGTGTGTGAGTGTTGAGTGTGTATAGGATGTGGCATGTGTATGCCCCATCTGTATGAAGTATAGGGGATGTGGCATGTGGTGTGTGTTCGTGTGTTGGGTGTGTATGGCATGTGGTATGTGTATTGTCCATCCGTATGGATTGTAGGGGATGTGATGTGTGTGTGTGTGCAATGCTGGGTGCAAGGTGGGCTTGTCTTCTCTGGCCCCAGATGCTCCACTCTTTCCCTCCTTGGGCCAACGCTCTCTGATGGAGCACTTTCTATTATAGAGGCCAGATGAGACAGCGGAGGAGGAGGGAGCTGACGAGGAAGCAGAGGCGGAAGGGGCAGAGGAAGGAGGCGAGGAGGAGGGCGAGGAAGACTCTTAGGCCTGAGCCTGCGTTTCTTCACCTTTTCCAGGTACTGTGCCATCTTGGGCCTTTGTGCCAAGTTCCCCGGGGGGAACAGTAGTCAGGAGTGCTCCTGTGTCCTAAGCCACCATGTCCTGCCCAAGATCCCTGTGCACACCCTCCTGAGGAGTGGGGCGGTGACCTGAGGGGATGTGTGGTCCAGGCACGCATGGGGCTGGGGGCTGTGGGTGTTGGGCGTGATGTGAGGCTAGGAGTTTGTTCACACTCTCTCCCTCCTCTTCCTCCACATGACCTTTCAGAGGAGGTACTGAGATGATGGCAACAGGTCCTGAGGATGTGGGGGATGCCTTCATATTGGGGCCACACTGAGGGGCCGGGTGAGTGTGTGGCCCTGCTGAGGCTCACTGCCCTAGACAGAAACCTGCACAAACGTGTGATTACTGACTGATGAGCCTCACAGTCTCATTGGTGGTCACTATCTAGTTACTAGGGAACAGTTGCTTGCCTTCTTATTCCAGACCTCAAAACAAAAAAATACTGAAAGAGCGTTTTTCTTTAGATCACCCCCTTCATGTCCATACCACACCTCCAGCGCTGTGGATCAGCTCAAGAGAACCAAGCCCCCACCCCACAGTGGGTCTGCAGAAAAGCATTGTGATGGCACATGTCCTTACTAGCAGAGGGCCTGAAGTTGTAATTGCCGGGAGCAGCCCTTCCTGTCCCAAAGCCTGCCTGCACTGCCAGGACCTGCCCTTCCTTCCAGTGTGTGGTGGAAATGTGGCTGGTCTCTAACACTCGCTCTATTGTTTGCGCATCTCAGAGCTGGTGACAGTGGCTGCCCCCTTGAGTACTAGGCTGTCAAGCTTTGGAGATTCCTTTCTTAAAAATCACAAAGCAGGGGAGGCAAAGATGTCAGAATAGGGTGAGGACGGACGTATTAGCTAGGATGAAGTGCAGAGAGCATGACCCCAGGAAATAGGAAGGGGCAGGTCTATGGCAGAGGGACACCTGGAGACCCATGGACATGGGGAAGCATCGGAGACAGTTGAGTGATGCTGCAGTGACCAGGCACCCCAGTGGTAGTCGGCATCCAGAGCTCTACCAGTGCCAGGTGGGAAGGGAGCTCACTGGGGACCCAGGCGTAGAACTGTCTGTCCTGCTGATGTGCTTAATCCCACCACAAGCAGAAACAGAGCAGCAGAGCCCAGCAGGCTGATGCAGGAACAGGATGGATTTTGCAGTTCAGACATCCAGCTACATTAGGCACTGTTTTGTGTGTTGAGGAAAAGTTTGTGGGGCTGGAGGGACAACAGCAGACTGCCCATGTGCTAAGCCAAGAGTGAACTCATGTCTAGCTCAACACATTGCACTGGTCCCACAGGGAAGACAGTGCCGACTCGGCATCCTTCATGCTCCACTCAAAGCAGGTGCAGGTGGCCCACAGATCTTGTGGCCAACAGGCCCAGACTCCCACCAGTGCCACATTGAGTACCATACCAACTTGGCATCCTACAGGTTTCACCCAAAGTAGGTCTAGGTGGTCCTCAGACCTAACAGCCAGGAGATTCCAGCAAGACCAACACCACTGACAACCCAGTGATTTAGGACAACTGGTGCCTGCTTAATCCCAGGCACTACTTGAGCCAAAAGTAGGAGAAAGGCTATGCAGGTAAAGGTGTGGCCACAGCATGGAGTCACAGTGGCTAGAGAGATGAGCCAGGAGCTATGCTATGGAGACTGTGATGGAAGCCTAGCACAAAAACACGGAACTGAAACTTGCTGAGGGAGTGGCACTAGTGGCTGCAATTAAGACCCGGGTACCAAACACAATCAGTAAAATCAAGCAGTGGGCAGCATAGCTTAGAAACCAGCCCTTAAGAGAGGAATCTGCTAACCAGACACAATGACCAAGTCCAAAAGAAGAATCAGAGGCACAATGAATATTCCTGAGAACTCCCCTGCAAAGGAGCAAAAGCCTTTGCCAACCTCAGAGTTAACCGAGGAAGATATTGAGGAAATGGGGAATTAAGAATCTTAAAACCTGTTATAAAGCTTCTTAACAACGAGAGGCACATATAGGAGTTCAAGGAATATGTCACATAGAAAACAGCAACGAGGAATCAAATGAAAGCTGATGTTTAGAAATTAAGAACACAGTGGACAAAATTAAAAATTCAATGGAAAAGTCTCAGTAACAGAATGAATGAGGCAGAAGAAAGAATTTCAAAATTGGAAGATTTTTCTTGCCACAATGGGGAAATAATCAAAAGCTACAAGCTGAGCCGGACCAGGCTAAAAAAAGTATTCAAGAACTGAAAGACACTATTAAAAGACTGAATAAAAGCATTAAGGGAGTTCCAGAAGCTACAGAAAGAGAGGCTCAGTTCAAAAATTTATGCCTTGAAATAATAAAGGAAAACTTCCCCAATCTGGAGAAAGAATTGGGAAACAAAATACAGGAGTGGCATAGAAAATCCCAACAGGGTTGATCAAAAGTGATCCTTGCCACAACACATGATTATCAAGCTCTCTTCAGTTGAACATAAGGAAAAAAAAATCCTTAAATGTGCCATGAAAACAATGAAATAACATACAGAGGAACCCTAACCAGACCCATTCCACAAACAATATTTAAAGATGTTCTCTTGACAGAGACAAGGAATAGCACCCACGAAAATCAACAAATCAGAAGACCTAGAAGATATGGATAAATTTTTGGACACATACAATATACCAAAATTGAATCATGAAGCAAGTAATAGTTTAAATAAACCTATAACAAGGGCTGAGATTGAATCAGCAGTTAAATCCCTCCCAAGCAAGAGCCAGATGGCTTCACTGCAGAATTCTACCAAATGCTTTAAGAAAAACATACCCTACCCCAATCCTCCACAGCTATTCCGAACAACAGAAAGGAAGGCATTCCTTCTAAATTCTTTCTATGAAGACAATATCACCTTATTACCAAAGGCAGAGAGAGATGCAAGAGAAAAAGAGACCAATGCCCACGATGAGCATAGAAACAAAGATCTTCAACAAAACTAGCCAACAGGATCCAACGGCATAGCAGGCAGATCATCCACCCGGACCAGGTGGGATTCACAGGCATGCAGGGATGGTTCAACATTCGCAAATCAATAAATGTGGTACACCACATTAACAAATTGAGAAACAAAAACTATATGATCAGCTCAATAGGTGCAGAGAAGGTATTTGATAATAACCAACACCACTTCATGTTAAAAACCCTGAACAAGCTAGGCATAGAAGGAACATTCTACAACACAATCAAAACATATGAAAAACCAACAACAGCATCATAGTAAATGGGGAAAGGCTGGGAGCTTGTGCACTAAGATCTGGAACTAGACAAAGATGTCCACTGGCACCACTGTTATTCAATATAGTATTGGAAAGCCTTGCTTTAGAACTATTAGACAATAAAAAAATTAAAGAATTGCAAATGGGAAATGAGGAATTAAAATTATCCCTACTTGCAAATGATGTAATTCTCTACATAGGAGAATCAAAACAATCAAGAAACTATTGGAGCTCAAAGGAGAACTTGGCAGGGTAGCAGAAGATAAAATTAATGTACATAATGTGATGGTGCTGGTATTTACAAATAGTTCCATGGCTGAGAAAGAACTTACAGTCACTTTAAAAATATCAGAAAGGAACCTTAAGAATCTTGGAATTAACCTAATCAAAGATGTGGAAGACCTCTGTGATGAAAACAATAAAACATTAAAAAAAAGAAACAGACATTAAAATTGAAAAAAACCTATCATGTTGCAGGATTGGCAGAATTAACATAATCAAAATGTCCATATTACCAAAAGTAATATGCAGATTTAGTGTGATCCCAATCAAAACCCCAACAACATTCTTCTCAGAAACAGAAAAGATGATATAAAAGTTCACCTGGAAACACAAGAAGCCATGAATAGTCAAAGCTATTCTGTAGAATAAAAATCAAGCTGGAGGAATCACAATTCCAGATCTCAAGACATTCTACAGAGCAGTGGTCGTCAAAGCAATTCGGTACTAGCACAGAAACGGGGGAGGTCAACGGAGCAGAGCAGAAACCCCAGAAGGGAGCCCACACATGTACAGCTAGCTGATCTTTGACAAGAGATCTTGCTATCTGAAAACCAAAGTGCACGGTGTCCCTGCCTGCTAACATGCTCCCCCATCCTTCCCCTTTCTTTCAGAACACCCAAGCCGCGAAGCAGCATTTCAGAAGCCTCCCCACAAAGCAACCTCGGCGAAATCCTTGGGCTCTCCTGGCTCAGTATCCTGGGGTCCACTGAGGCCGCACACCCAGCAACGCCTAGCCGCTCCGGGATCTGCCCACTTCTTCCTGTCAATATGAAACTCAATGTGGCTTCATGCACCTGTCATCTTAATATCATTACTTAATTAGACTTTTTTTTCCCCTGCATGATTTGATTTTCTTGTTCAGTCCCTGGACAAGGCTCCCCTGGTCCAGCAGAAGAGCATCTGTCCTTGCCCGGTGTCACAATTAGCGTGGGGGGCCTGAGCTGCTTTCCTGAGACAGACGCTGAAATAAAGATGAATGGTGACTCGTCCCAAGGAGCATCTTTTCTTGGCTGACCTTCCATCTGCCCCAGAGCGTCTCTCTCTCTCTCTCTCTCTCTCTATCTCTCTCTCTCTCTCTCTCTCACCCCTCCCTGCTGCCTGCATATCTTGCAGTGCTTTCCATCTGCCAGCGGCAGAGGGATGTTTTCCTAGTACTGATGATTCAGTCTCGATTGCCTGGTCCCATCACGGTGTGTCCCGGAAGCGCTGCGGTCCGCGGGGCCCACGTGTTGGGGGGTGATGGCTGGGGTGTGTGTGTGTAGGGGGGCGTTTACGACCCGGGCCTTTGCCTGCCGCCTGCGGCTCTGCCCTCGTCGCTGCTGCTGACTTGCGGCCATGGCTGCTGCGTGCACCGCCCGGGACGGGGACTTTGCCTCCGACCGTGAGCTCAGCAGGCGCTCCTCCGGCTCCAGGGACCGCACCCCAGGTAGGCTCCACCTCCGTGCTCTCTGGCCTCGCTCTGCGAGACGCGTTTTCGGTCCGCTTTTGGCGCTGTCCCTCCGCCCTGCATTCCGCTGCTGCCAAGGGCTCTGTCTCCTGGCAGGGCCTTCCCCGCCTTCCTGGCTCCTAAGGAGGAAATCCCGCCCGGGAATGGCAAGCTCCCTCGCCGTCCAGCTCTGCCCGTTGGGTTTGTGGTCAGTGTGGATGAGGGCCAGGGTCACACCGGGCCGAGCAACCTCTGCAAGGCAGGCTGTTTCTGTTACCTTAGCAACAGAAAGTCCGCTTCAGGCGATTTTGTTGCCACTGGTTCGAAGCGTCTGCTTTAAAGGCTACAGTGAGATGGAAATTTGTATAATTAAAAATTAATCTCTATTTTGTTTCATTATTCAAAGTTATGTCATATCTTAAAAGAACTTTTTTTTTTGGCCCTTTTGTAATTAGGCAGGATGAAGATGGATCCCCCACCATGTCTCGTTTATAAGTTAAACAAATATTTGTGTTAATGATAAGCAAAGAATAACAAAGCAGATCACTTAAAAAATCAAATTAATTATTTCTCAGATGGTCTGTTCTGTAGTTAGGGAATTAACATCCTAGGATTTATTTATTTGTATATCATTTTCCTCAGCTCAGCGCTGAAATGCAGAATTACTTAGATCAATAGGAACAGACAAATAGGCCCAGTTTTCTCTTGGTTTCAGTTCTATGAACCACTCCAGCCCGGTGCTTACTGGAAATGTGTGATATGAGAGCAGTCACCAAGGGTCCACAGGTTCGGTCCACGTCGGAAGCTGAGAAACACACTGAGAAACAAAACACACTGAGAAAGGCGAAAGGGACTCACTCTTAAGAAACACCATGAAAAGCAACATCATTTGCAAAAATAAAAGAGGGAGAAGAGAGATGCAATGATTGTGTGATTCGAAGCTGGGGTCCAAAGAGCGGGGTTTCTGAGTTGGAAGGAGGCCTTGGCGTTGGAAGGTAGGGTTTTCTCACTGTTTTAGTTCGAAGCTTTCGGATGTGCGTGGTTAGTCCCTGAGCAGCGTGCATCCTCCTAGCTCCTATGGGACTCCCTCTTGTTGCTGTGGGTTCCAGTCTCTCTTCTAAGAACCCTGCGTCCCATCCCTGCCCGAGAGGGTTCATGCTTGTCTTTGAGTTCCGTCTCCTTGAGTACAGGTCGGAGGACAGGGAGATGCCAGGACGGACGGCCTGCAGGGGTTCCTGGGGTCGGGGGCGGCGAGTATTTATAAGCACTTGCTTTAAAATCCACATTGACGGTTTTTCCTGCAGAAGCACCAGGAGCAGGTGCCTCTGCTGTGTTGTCATAGCAGCACATGGCCAGCAGGTGGGGCTAAAACACAAGCTTCTCCCTGTGCCGTTGCTACCCTCTTGGACATGGAAAGTTAAAATCACCATAGAAAAAACATCACTTGGTAGATCGATTATTGTATGGCTTATCATGCTTTTATCCAAGGGAAATTACTTTTGGGCAAAATATGAAGTCTTAAGAGCTGTTCTGCTCCGCCCCCTGTGTGGGAGTCCTGGGCTCAGCCTGGTCCAGGGCGGCTGGGGAGTGGACCAGTGTCTGCAGCCTGGGCCAGGAGGGCTGCTGTGGGCCCTGGGGAGTGGGCCAATGACTGTGAGATCTCCGTATGTCTCTCTTTGCATTTCAAGATTTAAAAAAAAAACCAAAAAAAAAAACAAAACAACCCCCCCTTAAAAAGCAGCAAGAAACCCAGCAATTGTTTTGGGAATTTTCCATTCTGGCATTCTTTTTATTGTTATTAGTATCTTCCGTGATAGTTTTGTAGGTGTAGGGTTCCCCCAGCTTGCTCCCTCTCCATTTCCGCTTCCCACGGTTTTCCGCCCAGCACAACATCCTTGCATTCTAAACTCAGTCAACACTTGGTGACATGCTGACATTAAGTGATGTAGGATCTTCGTTTAGCCTGTCAATGGTTGTAATATAAACCACAAGGTGTTACAAAAAATTCCTGGAAAAAATAAAATGAAACAGTTAAAAAATGTGATCATGACTGTATCCTGAGCATCCGTTTTGTGGTGCCCTGGGCACCTGTGTCTTCCTGGGGACTCCTATTGCCCGTGAGTTGCCTTGGATCAGAGGGCTGTCTTCCACAGGGGACTCTGGAGACATCTGAGGGTGTGTTAGTGGGATGTGGGAAATTCACAGTGGGAAGCTGCTCAGCCGTGCAGCCCATGGTTCTGTGAAGGGACTGGGAAGGAGGCAGCAGGTGCAGTCAGGTGGGGTACCTGGATGCTGCCTGCTTGGGCTGCTGTCTGCTCGGGATGCTGCCTGCTCAGGATGCTGCCTGCTCGGGATGCTGCCTGCTCGGGATGCTGCCTGCTCGGGATTCTGTCTGCAATCTCGGGGCTTCCAGTGGAGCCTGGCCTTTTGTGTTGCTTTCTCTCGCTGTCGTTGTGCGCCTGCGAACAGTCAGGCTCTGGATGAGACCTGTGTGGAATCCTGACAGCGAGTGTCTGATGAGGTCACCCAGCTGAGCATGGAGACCCACACATGTCCCACTCTTCAAGTCAGAGAAAGCTGGCCTGTCATCGTGGGCCACAGCCCCCTTCCCCTTGTTGGGGCGTGCTGGGGTGTGAGCTGTGTGCCACTGGGTCTGACAGCCTCCACAGGCACCTGAGCTCTCTCACCTTCAGTAAAGACACCTGCACTTCTCACCTGCGATTCGTGTGTCTGGCTCTTAGTTGCTCCTTCAGGCACATTTCTACCATCCGTCCTTCACAGGGGGGTCAGGGCTCTGCACATGGTCCAGGGAAGCCTCAGGTGGCAGAGAGGAAGAGTGGAGGTGGCCACCTGCCCATGTCCAACCTGCCTGTCGTCCCAGGTCACCTGATGCCTTGGTCGACAGCTGGGGATGGGACAGAGTCACTCCCAGTCCCGGTGGTGTTTGGAATTGAGAATGTTCTACCTCTGTAGGGGGCTGAGATGTTAGTGTTTCCAGGAATTGCCTTTGGGCTTTCTGGAGCTCCAGCAGGGTCTCTGCAGGTGCACCAAATCAAGGTTGTTAGGGTGGGTCCTAAACACAGATGACCTAGTGCCCTTTCCCAGAGAGAAACGTCACCAAAGAGAGAGACCTTGCAGCCGCAAGTAAGAAAGTCTGGGACTTTGTTTATGAAAGAGAGATTGAGAGATCTTCTACCCGCTGACTCACTTTCCAAATGGCCACACAGAGCTTGGCCAGGCTGAAGCCTGGAGCCGGGAGCTACCTTGGAATCTCCCATGCAGCGTTCCAAGCACTTGGGCATCCTCTGCTGCTTTCCTAGGCATAAAAACGAGGAGTTGAATCAGAAGTGAAGCAGCTGGGACATGGCTTGAACCAGTGCCCATTTAGGATGACAGTGCCACAGCTTACCTTTTTGTTTTTATAATTTTACTTCTTCTTATTATTATCATTTTATGATACAGTTCCATAGGTCCTGGGATTTCCCTTATCCCCTCCCCAATTCCCTCCCCCCTCACTGAGTTCCCCTATATCATTACTATAGTACAGTTCTTCATACTCAGTCATATGCCCATCATTGCATACATGGACAATGGCAGAGAGTCCAGCATCCTATTGTCAAGACACAGTTAACAGTTTCATTGGGAGATCATCTTTGTGTGGAAGTAGAGTTGCATACTGCATTGTATCCTCACATCTGGATATGTTAGTCTCCATTACACAGTTACTATACATCCCTTAAATGAAAAGCCACAAAAACAAAATCAACAACAGGAAGAAAAAATAGAAATTAACAAAATGAAGTTAAATAACATGCTACTGAATGATTAATGTCTCGTTGAAGAAATGAAAAAGAAAAGCAACAATCTTCTTGAAGAAAATGATGTTACTGTATGATTTTTGAGTCATTGAAGAATTTAATGAGAAGAAAGTGTTTTGAAGAGATGAAACCAACAAAACAATCTAAATTCAGGAGATACAGTTTCCTCTGATCTTTGTTGGTGAGATATGTCTCCTGTAGGAAACAAACAGATGGGTTTTGTTTTTCAATCCAGTCTACTAATCTATAACGTTTAATTGATGAGTTTAATCCGTTTACATTCGGGGTTAATATGAATGGGTGGTAATTTGGTCCTGTCATTTTAGGAATGGGTTGTTCATTGATTCGGTCTCTTGTTGTTATTTTAGTGGGATGTTCTTCGCATTTCCCATTGGTTTTGGTGGGCGCCATTCCTTTTCTCTGTCAAGAGAACATCTTTAATTATCATTCGTAGGGCAGGCTTGAAAGAGGCAAATTCTTTACACATTTCTTGACTGTGGAAGAATTTTATTTCATTTTTAAAGACAAAAGAAAGCTTTGCTGGGTATGTTATTTTGGGCTGACAATTTTTTTTTCTTTTAGAATCTGGAATATGTCACTCCATTCTCTTCTGGCCTGTAGAGTTTCCTGTGAGAGATCTCCTGTGAGTTTAATTGGCATTCCTTTATATGTGAATTGATGTTTTTACGTGCACATTTAAGGATCTTTTCCTTATGTTCAATTGAAGAGAGCTTGATGATCATGT